GACCGATAGACTTGCTCCATGCAGGGTTTCCACAAACCTTCAATTTGTAAAAAATGCAACATCTTCAAAGCGCAATAAAATGAGGTATGTCTATATTATGAACTACTACCATATGAAGCGCTTTACATGAATTCTCTCATTTAATTCTTAAAAGAAACATAAGAATATGTGAAATTATCCTCACTTTAGAGATGAGAAAACCAAGAACCAGAAGGATTAAATAATTTGTCCAAAATTGCAAGGCTGCTAAAATCCTTTAATAGCTTTTAGTTGTTCTAAAGGCTCTGCATGAGCTGGTCCCACCAACCCCCTCCAGCCTAATCTCATACCACACACTAGCTCTGTTACTGCCAGGCCTTCTTTTGGTCCCTCAACCGTGTCATGTTTCCACCCACCACAGTTTCTACACTTCCTGCTCCTCTGCCTGAAATGTCCTTACACCTCACACTCCCAACTCCTCCTGCCAAGTTAGTGCCTTATTCCTCCTTTAGAGTTCAGGTTCAGAAGCTTTTCCTGATTGCTGTACCCCCTCAACTCCTAAAGACCAAGTACCTCCATGATATACCCCCATGGGACCTCACTTCTTTCTGTCGTGAGCTCCTTATTTCAACTTATATTACACCTTCATTCGTGTCTGATTTGTCTGTCTACCTCATACCTAAATTCTAAGGTCCATGAGAGCAGGGCCATGGCTTTTGCCCACTATTGTGTCCCCCTTCGCACAGTGCCTGGCACATAACAGATGGTCAATAAATAATAAAAACAAACAAACAAAGGGAAAAAGGGACCAAAGAGAAGAAATGACAGGTTGATTTGGATCTGTCTGGCTCTGTATGTAGCACACTTAAATAAGATATAATGCTTTCCATATGAACAAATCTCCATCACTGATAGGCGGCAGCTATATGGATGTAATGGAGAAACAATTGTCAAGTAATAAGAAAACAATTTTGACTCGTGTGTTTCTTAAGAACTTCCCAGTTATACAATTAACCTGTGTAGATTTGTTTTAGGAAATGTTTACTAAGCATCCTCTATGGGCAAGTCACCACATTAAACCCTGAAAGGATACAGTAAAGGGTACAACATGGTCACTTAAGGACTTCACAATCTCATCAGGGAGATAAGACAAACATACTAAACCTGACATAAATGGATAAAGTGTGAAAACTACAGTAAGAGACACATGGACTTGGTACTCAATAATTATGCCTTAAATGAAGGAATGAGGGAAAAAGTCAATTTATTTGATATGAACTTCAAGAATGAGATATGTTGGGGCTTCCCTGGTGGCGCAGTGGTTGAGAGTCTGCCTGCCGGTGCAGGGGACACAGGTTCGTGCCCCGGTCCGGGAAGATCCCACATGCCGCGGAGCGGCTGGGCCCGTGAGCCATGGCCGCTGAGCCTGCGCGCCCGGAGCCTGTGCTCCGCAACGGGAGAGGCCACAGCAGTGAGAGGCCCGCATACCTCAAAAAAAAAAAAAAAAAAGAATGAGATATGTTGAAAGCGGTAAATTGTTATGTTATCCTTCTGCATAAAATTTTCCAATGGTATCTCATAATACTTAGAATAAAATCCAAACATCTTACAACAGCCTCCAAGGTACTCTACCTGCCCCTACCCACCTCTCAGACCTCATCTCATACCACTTTTCTACTTTCTATGTTCCACCTATACCAGCCTTCTTACTCCTGTTCTGGAAGCACACCAAAGCTCACCTATGCCTTAGAGCCTTTCTACCAGCTATTGCCTCTTCCTGAAGGTCCTTCCTCCAACTTTCACATGGCTGGCTTCCTTTTGTCATTTAAGACTCAGCACAGGCCCCAGCCGCTGGGTCGACCAGCTGTCCCGGCGGACTTGCGTTCCATAGCCCCAGCTGCCTGCTCCTTATTTGTGTCCTGAAGATTAGTGTGCCAAGTTCGTCTGTTTATTAAGATTACATATGTAAACAAGAACCAAAAAAAAAAGACTCAGCACAGGGACTTCCCTGGTGGCGCAGGGGTCAAGTATCCACCTGCCAATACAGGGGACACGGGTTTGAGACCTGGTCTGGGAAGATCCCACATGCCAGGGAGCAACTAAGCCCGTGCGCCACAACTACTGAGCCTGCGCTCTAGAGCCCGTGAGCCACAACTACTGAAGCCCACGCGCCTAGAGCCCGTGCTCTGTTACAAGAGAAGCCACCTCAACGAGAAGCCTGCGCACTTCAATGAAGACCCAACACAGACAAAAATTAATTAATTAATTTTTTAAAAAGACTCAGCACAAACACTGTCTCCATAGAAAGGCTTTTACTAATCCCTAACTTTACAGTGAAACTTCCCATTCCTCCATCACTATTTACCTTCTGTATAAGACTTATCACTCTCTGAAATCATATTGTTTACTCTACCTGTCTTTAGAATATATGTCCCATGAGAGCAGGGAATCTGTTTTTGACCACTACACCTCCAGTACATAGACAGCACTTGTTGAATTCAGGTAGTAGCTCAATGTAAAAGAAAGGAAGAAAAGAAAGAAAAAAAAGTAAAGGAAGGAAAGGAAGAAAGGAAGGAAGGAGCAAAGAGACAAATTAAGGCTGGAAGGGTCAGGTAGCTAAATTTCAACACAGTGGAGTACAGAGGCACAATAACTATATAGAGCAGTGAGCAGTAGGGTAGAAGAACAGACAATGAGTTTATATAAGTCTAAAATTCATGGACAGAACTCCAAGTCAAGGAGTTTAGACCTAAACAAATTCTTTGTGAGTTTTATACAAAAGTGCTCATAAATAAGCCTATCATGGCCCTATGAACAATTAAGTATGTCAAATTATAGCTTGGGATATAGCTCAGCTACTTAACGTTTACTGAGCATCTACTTGTGTAGATGCTACAAAGCACTGCGAATTTAAGAACGAAAAAATCAAGACTGGCGCCTTGAGAAGCTCACAGTCTTGTGGAATAAAGAATTAAACAAACAGAACACCTACTGATAAATGCCACAGTAGCATAAACAGGGTGTTACAAAAATACAGATGAGTGCTATTTAGCCCACTCAGCAGTACAGTTAGTTAAGGAAGGCTTCCTAGGTATATTACCTAGTGTGGATTCTGGGAATAAGCAGAAGTGTGCTACATGAAAAGTGGCAGTTTTGCAGGCAGAGGAGAACAAGTTACAATGAAGGCAAAATGGTGAAGAAAAGCAGGATGATTAGCGGAGTGACTACAGCATAAAGTTCAAGGTGAGGAATGATGGGAATGAAAGCTAAAAGGAAAGGGGCTAGGCTATAGAGACCAACCATAGAGAACAACACAAAAAATGAAAACTTATCTTCCTAGGAAAAAATACGAGGGACTTAGCTGGTGGCGCAGTGGTTAAGAATCCGCTTGCCAATGCAGGGGACACAGGTTCGATCCCTGGTCTGGGAAGATCCCACATGCCGTGGAGCAACTAAGCCCACGTGCCACAACTGTTTAGTCTGTGCTCTAGAGCCCGCGAGCCACAACTACTGAGCCCACTCTCCTAGAGCCTGTGCTCCACAATAAAAGAAGCCACTGCAATGAAAAGCCCACGCACCGCATCTAAGAGTAGCCCCTGCTCGCCACAAGTACAGAAAGCCTGCGTGCAGCAACGAAGACCCAACGCAGCCAAAAATAAATAAATAAATTTATTTTAAAAAATACGTGAAAAAAATTATAAAGATTTATAATTCAGGAAAAATCTTAAGAGAAGTGCTAAGCAACTGAGAGAATGATAAAGACCTTCAAAATCAAAGCACCTAACCTGTTTTCTAAAGTATGTAGCAGAAATCTATAACAAGTGCTAATATGTAAACATCAAATTGCTATCCCTTTCACAATATCTAAAAAAGGGGGGTGGGAAACCAAAGCCCAACTCTCATTTATTAATATTTTGAAAAACTTCAGTGACTTCCCTGGTGGTCCAGTGGTTAAGAATCCGCCTTCCAATGCAGGGGACGGGGGTTCGATCCCTGGTCGGGGAACTAAGATCCCACATGCCACAGGGCAACTAAGCCCACACACCGCAACTACTGAGCCCGTGCACTCTGGGGCCTGCAGGTCACAACAAGAGAAAAGCCCGCATGCTGCAACAAAAGATCCCACATGCTGCAACGAAGATCCCATGAGCCGCAACTAAGACCCAATGCAGCCAAATAAATAAACGAAAAACTTCAGAGCTCGCAAATAAAATCCAGACACTTTAAAGAAACAATTGAAGAACCACAAAGAGTTGTACAGCCTGGGAGGCAAATCTGTGTTCGTATCCTGGCACAGACACTTATCACCTGTACAACCTCAGAGAAATTACCTTTTTTCTGAAAACTCCAAGGTTGAATGAATTGATCCCTAAGATCCCTTCCTGCTGTCTATGATTCACTAGAAGAATTAAATCAAATCAAGGCTGAAAAGAATTCTTCATTATTTAGCTCCTGCCACTTCCCTTCCCTCCTCTCTCTCTCAACTCTATGTTATATTACAACGAATTCCTCCCAATTCCTTGAATATATCATATCCACTCTTACTTCTGGATCCTTAGACACTGCTCCCTCTGTTTGGTATCCTTCCACCCTACTACTATCAGTGCCACTCCTTCCCAAGAAAATGTTTCATACACCTGAATCTAATATAATATAGTAAGTCAGCTATACTTCATTAAAAAAAAAAAAAGAAAGAAAGAAAATGCCTCATTAAGTCCTACTCCTTCAAGTATCCACTACAGCATTCCTTCTTTCTTCCCTATCTCCTCAACCTTACCCCAGGCAATTCAGGTTAGATACTCTGCATTCCCAGAGCATCCTATCCTTCCCTGATCATAGCAATACTAAGCTTTATTTTAATTTCCTGTTTAATAGTCAGTCTCCTCCACCACGAAGGACTTGTATGATGAGAAGGCAGAATTGTGCTGCCTCTACACAATTTTATCATCAATGCCTGGTTTAAAAAAAAAAAAAAAGTGGTGCTCAGTAGGTATTGATGAAGAAATGCATAACAAACTCACCTCTAACACAGCCAGGACAGTGTCAAGCTGATCCTCTCGAAGGGTGATATTGTTAGAGATTTTTCTCATGGTATGTATGGACTGTAGACGTACTTCCTCAATTTCATCATTAAACATGTCAACCAGGAAATCAAGGCACTTCTCAGCAAAAGAGGGTGAAGACTGGGCCAGCATGCAGAGCGCCTCTACAGCAGCAATGCGGACCTCTAGAGAAAAAGGGCCAAACAAAACTGCACGTCAAGTTAAGATCCATGGGAAAAATGTAAGAAGGATTCCTTCTCATTCAGGTTTGTGTTTCCCTCTCTACTCCTGTTACTTTACAAACTCTCTCTGGGAGATCTCCTCCATGCCTGCAGATTCTGCTACCACCTTCACACAGACCTATGAACAAGGATGTTGGTACCACAGGGACTAAGGTTTAGATCCTGACTCCTTGAAAACTCAGCTGTCTTATTATCTCAGTAGTCCAACCACAGTAAAGTACTTTTTAAAAAAGCACTTTTAAAATAATATTATTAAGATTAAAACAGGGTCGATATCATTATTCTCATTCTACAGATAAGAATCAGCAAAGTGGATAAACTTGCCTCAAGTGAATGAGAGCAGAGATAAGACTAGGACCCAGGTCTGCTAATTCTAGACCAGCATCATATAGTGGTTAAGGGTACATGCTCTGGAATGATAGAGGCCTCACAGTGAATTGTGAAAAGTAATCCATCCACTAACTTGGACGGTGATCTTGAATAAGTAAATTAACTTCGTAGTATCAATTTTCTCACCTGTTAAATGGAGATAATACCCATTTCCTTACAGAGTAGTTAGGAGGAGTAAACGACATAGTGTGGGTAAAGCACATAGCACACTGCCTGGCATATGTTAAAAGCTCAATAAATATTAGCTACGATTTAGGTACACATCTTGTAAGCACCTTGAAAACAGAGGCATGTCCTCTATCTCTTTACATGCTCAGAACATGTAACAGTAAAGCCACTGAATCCAGGAAGCCCTTCATTCTTTCACTAACACTGTCGCCTGAACGTGTACTATATGCCAGGCCCTGTGCTGACTGTTGGGATACAGAGATGAGAAAGCTATAGACCATGGTCGCAAGACTTCCATACAAGCTTGTTTTGTTCCAGCGGTTCCCACAATAAAATGTACAGTTTCAAAAAAGAAAAGAAAAACACTCAAATTGTGGTTAAAACTCTCCAATATACTTTGGTTTTTGTATAAGAAAGGTTTTATAGACACCTTAAAAGCAGAGTTACTACATAAAAGGGAGATGACTCAGATTTTTCTCGGTACTTATAAATTCCTCTTTTTCATCAGAAGGGAAGGATTTGCTCTACATCACATCTATGTAATTTAAACAGGAAATTGCTAATAATTACAAAGCAAGCCAGAGATGGACCCAAATGTTTTAACTGCTAACCCTGCTTCTTAGGGCTTTATCCATTACATTGCATTGACTCATGTGTAACTCTTGCAAGTGTATCAAGGGAATCACAGAGAAACTTCAGATCAACGTGAGATAATCAGTATGACCTGACCTGATGCAATTCCAAGCAGAAGCAAAGAAGCTTGGTTTTTTACTTTGCATGCTACAGGTAGCTAAATTAGCTAAATTAATTTAGCTACAGGTAGCTAAATTAACAATTTCTACTGGACTTTTTGGAATGTTGAAAATATATAATAGTCTCCTTAAGGGTCCAGGGCAGAGAAAAGGAATTAGCTTGCTCGAGAATAAAAAAAAGACTGATCCTCTGGTGTCTTAACATATGTAATCAGATCCTAGTTTTGCTACTTACTAGCTTTATGCTTAGTACTGAAGGTACAAAGATGAACAAGAACAAGACTGTGTCCCAGCCACTATAGACTAGAATAGTTAATTGCATTACAGAGTGATGAATGATACAATGGAAGAGCACACGTAGTATGAAGAAAATGCAGAAGAGGCACATAGCCTACTCAACAGGATCAGAGGCAGCTTTTCAGAAAGTGACCCCTAAAATAATACTTGAAGGAGTTGCTAGGCCAGAGGAAAGGAAAAAGGCCTTTCTATGCAGAGGAACCACATGTAAAGGCCCAGAAAGGAGGGAGAACATGGAACAACTAGAGGACTAGAAGTATGTGTGATACTACACTACAGTCTATAGCCAATGAAATAAGGCTCCATTTCACTCCCAGCAAATGTGTCCCTAAAATCCTGATTTACCCAGAATTTTATAGGTATGATTAGAGAGCTGCCATACCTGATGCTGGTTATGATCTAATCACTTTCCAAAGTTAAGTTCCTTTAAGTAAACCTTAGCGACAAACTAAAAACTGTAGAAATCAACCACATAAACATTAACAGTGATTAAATTCAATTGCAGAAACTAAACAAAGCAAAAATGCTAGGAGAAACAAAATAAAATAGGTTCTAGTTACCTGTCTTAGGATAAAATGGGTTTTAATAACTGGAATTCCTTATTATCTAACACTATTTAAATTTTTAATTCATATATCAAGTTCATGGAGAACATAAGCAGAGGTAGCTTTAATTAATTTCCATATAGACAGAAAATCTTACAGCAAATTGAATAGGGTAACCCAATTCTAATATCTACTAATAGAAAAATTGTCTTTCAAAAGTAATTTTCTTGCCCTTCTAAGTAGTTCTATTCTGAGGTATCATTTTTATAGACATTTTAAAGACCTGAGCTCTAATCCTCTGACACAAATTTACTATAAAATTTGGACAATCAATATTATCTCCCCACATCTGTTAGCCTCACTGAAAATAGGCTGGAGTCAATCATCTCAAGGCACTGACAGTCTGTGATCTATGTGAAATGGAGAGCATCATATTGAAGAAATCGTAAGAGCTTTGCAAGCACTTCTATTACTGGCTAAAATGGAGTAACAAGGGCTAGATTTATCTTTCTATCTGAAACAACTAAAAACAGAGACAAAATATATGAAAGAAAAGTATTCAACACACTATACAACAGGCAATAAGAGGTAGTGATCCCTGAGAGACAGGAAATAAATGAGGTGAGCTTTATGATTATACCAGTTTACTGTCTGTAGAGTTTCCAGGTTGTAGGTCGCCCTGAGTTGAGAAGACAGAGCTGGGAGTCTGGAAAGGCCAATGTGACTAGAGTTCATAGGGCAAAGTACCAGAAAGACATGCACAGAGAGAGCAAGCCTAGGAGGTCTGCAGAGGGTCCTCCTCAAGTCTTCAGGCAAGTTCTGTTCTGTGAAGAAACTATCCAAGGCCTGAGAAAGAACCACTCAAGAGGGTTCGAGGGAACAATCTCCAAAGCTCATACATGGTCAACAATAGTTTTTTCAGAAGTTTGTTTCACTAGTGATGAAAAATAACCCCTAGACTAAATGCTACTTAGGTCCACCTAACAAAGCTTAAAAACAATACCTGAACTAACTGCATTCTAGAACAAAGCTCAAGAATACTCATAGGAATATAACCATGTTCAGCACCCAATAAAGTAAAACTCAGAGTGTCTGACATCCAATCCCAAATTACCAGGCATGCATAGAAGCGGGAAAATATAATCCATAATGAGGAGAAAAATCAATCAATCAAAACCAACCCAGAAATCACACAAATAACAGAGCTAGGAGACAAGGACATCAGGATAGTTACTGTAAATACATTCTCTGTTGACAAAGCTAGAGAAAAGATTAAGCGTATTAAGTAGCGATACAGAAGATACTAAACAAATGCAAATTCTCATCAAACTTCTAGGGATGAAAACTACAATGTCTGAGATGAAAAATATACTGGATGGAATTAACAGCAGATTAGACACTGCAGAAGAAAAGATTAGTGAACTCCAAGACAAAGCAATAAACATTATCCAAAATGAAACAAATAGGAAAAAAAGATTACATGGAAAAAAAAGAATAGAGCATCTGTGAGCTGCAGGACAACCTCAGTAGCCTAATATATATGTAATTGGGAGTCCCCAAAGGAGCATGGGGCCAGAAAAATATTTAAAGAAATAACAGTCAAAGATTTTCCAAATGAAAACCACAAACCCATAGATCCAAGAAGCTCAACAAACTCCAGGTATAAGAAACATGAAGAAAATTATACCAAGGCATATTATAATTAGATCGTTTAAAACCAGTGATAAAGAGAAAAGCTTAAAAGCAGCTAGAGAAAAAAAGATACATTATGTACGGAAGAACAAAGATTTAAAATGACAGCAGAGTTCTCAACAGAAAAATGCAAACTGAAAAACTGTGGAACAAGATGTTTAAAGGACAAAAAAATAAATAAACCACTATTAATCTAGAATTTGATTCCCAGTGAAACTATCTTTCAAAAATGAAGGCAAAATAAAGGCTTGATTAGTCATTAGTTAGTCAGACTAACCTGGGTTTAAATCTTGCTTCTGTCTCTTACTAGCTGAGTGACTAATAAGAAAGTACAATTGTTATCAGTATAAATATCAATTTTTACTACCATTTATTAAGTGCTTACTATAACTGGGTTATGTATCATGTCATGTATATGTAATGTCATTTCATTATCACAATTCAGAAACACTTGCTATTAACCTTGCTTTACAAAAATGCTAGAATTTGAACCTAAATTGACTGAACCCAAAGTCCATGCTCTTAACCACTGATCCATACCACACGAACCTCAACCTCTTCTGTTTATAAAATTAAAATAATAGTAGCTAGTTCACTGAGTGACTATAAAGATTACGTGAGACAACCTGTATATATCACTCAGTACAATGCCAGACACATAGCAGCCACTCAGTAAATGGGCACTGTTATTTTTATGAAGTCATGCTTACCATACATTTCATCTTCCAATCCATGAACAAAGGCTCCACAAGCTCCTGACTCGATCAAGTTCACAGCCCCTGTATCTACTTCTTCCTTGGGAGCATCATCTCCCCACTTCCTGCCGCTGGAAAACTCTCCTGAAGTGTAAAGTTCCTTGGCACGTTCATGTGCAGTGCGTTTCCTCTATAGAAGACAACAATTACCACTTGATAGAGATTCATGAGAACTAAGTTGCACCCCAAGAACATGAGAAAGTAGGAAATAAGATTGCTCTCTGAGAGTTACATTTAAAAAAAAAATACTCAATAGATCAGAGCAGAGAAATGCAAATTCAACTTGAAGTTAAGATCAAGGTTCTCAGGTCATCAATAGCTGATAGTAACCTTATTAAAGGTAGTAACTTCATTAAAGATAGCACAAGAATGTTGACTGGACAGGTGGTTATGTTTGCCATGGCAACACAGGAAAGGGAGAACCAGAGAGGTAAATAATGGCAGTGTCCTTCCAAGCACCATCCTGGGTAGACAATACACTGGCCCTAGAAAATAATTTTTTTCATCCCATAGAAGTAAGCCTCTATTTGACAACACTATGCTCACCAAGCAAGTGTCTAGTAAATTTACTTTCTTCACAGATTGCCTAAGGGGGAATGTACTAGTCAGCTAAAGTAAATATTGAGTCTACTTGACAGTTACAGTTACCTTCATAAATGAATAAACTGGCATAGATATCAGCCTCTGTGAACCTTCCTGGTGTGAGCCCACATCCTCATGGCTAATCATCTCAAAGGCACTGATGAAATATAGCACCTACGCCTACAAGGATGTGGGTCACGCAGAAGTAAAGTTTGTACCTTGCAAAGTGTCTTAGAAACCTTTGCATTACCCATCCCTCACCATTCACCATGAGCGTGTCCTTCTTTTCACTTCCACCCCAGTATACACAAAGAACACTTAAGCAATCACTGACCTCAAATGAAGGGAATGTCCTTCAAGAAAGCCATGCAGCAATGTTTCATGAAGCACAGATACTAACTCCCCAACCATTCCCAAGAATTCATCTTATGGAATAAATCAAAACAAGAAAAGATCTAATATCCATGAAGGTGATTCTCTATATGTGATTTATAATGGTAGAAAAATTAAGGAGAAACTGTAAATGTATAACAAAGGGCTAAAAAAATGATGGCACATCTACTTAACAGAATATTATGCTATCAGTAAAAATGGTAAGTATGAAGTTAATATGAAAAAAAAAGCATATGAGGTAGTGGTAAATACAAAAAGTAGACTACAGGGGCTTCCCTGGTGGCGCAGTGGTTGAGAGTCTGCCTGCCGATGCAGGGGACACGGGTTCGTGCCCTGGTCCGAGAGGATCCCACATGCCGTGCAGCGACTGGGCCCGTGAGCCATGGCCACTGAGCCTGCGCGTCCAGAGCCTGTGCTCCGCAGCGGGAGAGGCCACAACAGTGAGAGGCCCGCGTACCGCAAAAAAAAATAAATAAAAATAAAAAATAAAGATACTGACAATGAATGCTCCTATCATATTCTCAGACTCATATTTGTTCTTGACAACTATGTCAGACAACTATCACAGTCAAAGCTTAAGGGCATTCTGTTACTGTTCAGAGAAAGGATTTACTCAATCTTCCATGAGAACTGCTGTTGAAAGGAGTCACAAAGACAAAGACAAAGTCACAACTACAAAGACCAGACCTTTGTAGTTTCTAACAAATAGAAAGTTAATCTTGCCTCTTGTAATTGTACAAGTACTTTTACAATTGTAAAAGTAACTTGTAATTTGGTTCAATTTACTAAGATTTTAAATTAAAATGTAATCTAGTCATCCTAATTAACAAATTTATGGGCTGTAAAATTAAATCAACACAACTTGGCTTATAGCTACACTGATTTTGGTTTCAGAAACCCAGTTTAAACAACAAAGAATTCAAGTTACCCTCAGATCTGACATCAGCTTCTTGTCAAGCGTCTGTTCCAAGAAATGAGAACTGACTTGCTCCATAGAGCCCTATAAAAAGGAAGAATCCAGAGCAATTAAACAACTTTTAAGATCTGAACAATATCTTCAAATTCAAAGTTTGCCACCAACTTAAATGCATAAAGATAACATTATTCTTTTTTTTTAATTTTAATTTTTTTTTATACAGCAGTTTCTTATTAGTCATCAGTTTTATACACATCAGTGAATTCATGTCAATCCCAATCGCCCAATTCATCACACCCCCACCACCCCCACTTTCCCCCCTTGGTGTCCATACATTTGTTCTCTACATCTGTGTCTCAATTTCTGCCCTGCAAACCGGTTCATCTGTACCATTTTTCTAGGTTCCACATATGTGCATTAATATACGATATTTGGATAACATTATTCTTGATAGTAAAGATCCCTATGGGTTTTGAATCATCAGGAAAATAATAAAATCACTAGCAGCAGCAGCTAGCACCTATACAGAGCTACTAGGTGTCATGCACTGCTCTAAGTGCTTTATACATATATTAATTCATTTAATACTCACTACAACCCTATGAAGTAAATACTAATATTAGTCACGTTTTATATAAGGGGGAAAGAAGGCACAAAAAGATGAAGTAATTCATTCAAGGTCACAAACAGTGTAAATTACAGAGCTGGGCTATAAACCCAGGCTCCAGAATCCTTTGCTTTAACTACTACTCTCCACTGTCTCTCCATTCCTTTTCATTCCATCCTTTCCATTCATTTGTCCATTCATTCATAAAACAAATATATACTTAGCAACCATTCCATTATATGCCTAGAGTTACCAGGAACAGGTACACAAAAATAAAAAGACATCAACTCTACACTCAACAATCACACACTAGTGAGGGAAATTGACAAGTAAAGAGATTACTGCATTATGGTATGAAATTTTATAATATACATTTATAAAGGGTGCTATGGGAACTTAAAGAAAAGCAGTATGGGGTGGAGGCAGAGAGAGGTACATCTGGGGAACTGGAAATCACAATTAAATGCATAAAGAAAATGTTATGTGGGAAACATCAAGTGGTTCTATGAATAGAACATAGGACGGGGGTACTGAAAATGAGGCAAGACATGTCGGTAGAAAGCAGGTCATAAAGGTCTTTGTTTGCTATGGTAAGGAGTTTGCCTTATGAATAATAACTCTATAGATAATTTCTATTAAATACTTAATGAGCTCAGTAATGTACAAAGACTTGCATTTTAAAAATGTATCCCTCCCAATAATCCCATGAAGAATGAGCATTATCCTCACTTTTTATTTATTTTTTATGAGAAATTGAGGCTGAGAGATTCAGTAACTTGCTCATTTCAAATAAGAGAGAAACATAATCAGATTTATACTCATAAACATCATCTTGGCAGCAATGTGGCTAATGGACCAGAAGGAACCCAAAACAAAGCAGAGACACAAGTTAGGAGGCTATTTAAAGCAGGTCCTAGACATTCTTAAGGAATATATTGGAAATCTTCTCTAATTCCCAAGTTAATAAATATGGAAATGTTTATACAGGCTCAGACTTTTTCTCCAATCACATTTTCCATATCAAGTTACATGTTCTTTGGGAGTACTCTTACCCAAGTTAACACCTTTCCTACAATTCTAGAAGGGCAATTGTGCTGTTCACCTTAAGTAGTTTCAAAACCACTTTTTCTTATCTCTACATGGTATATAGTTTGTTACATAGGTCTGAGCCAATACCAAATCTAACATTCATTTTTTTAATGCAAAACATCAATTTTATGAATAAAAACTATACATTTTTAAGAACTCCTCACTTTCTCTTTAGTCTTACCACCAACATTAACAGTTGTCTTTTTTTTGGCCGCACCATGAGCCACGTGGGTCTTAGTTCCCCGACCAGGGACTGAACCCGTGTCCCCTGTATTAGAAGCGCAGTATCTTAACCACTGGACTGCCAGGGAAGTCCCCAACAGTTGGCTTTTTAACAGGCACTTTGTTTTTCTACAAAGAATGAAAGTTTTAATGACTTCACAGTAAGTTACTGGAACCCACAGTCTCAACGTCCTCCTCCAAAGCCTTCAACTGAGCTCTCTCCCAACACAGTAGCAAAGAGGGGGTACTATTCAAATTCTAGCCTCAAGAAATTGCACATCATTATTTGTAACAAGTTTCCAGTGTTATGTAAGAATAGCTGAAGCTTTCCATTTTAAATCCACAAATAGCAAGAACCTTACAGCATAATCCACTTGAAAAATAGTAAAACCTGAACTGTTACAAGCGCAGTGGAAATAGAGAAGGGATAGATTCAAGGTATGTCGAGAAGGTAGTACTGATAAGAGTTGATGACTCAGTGGATACGAGACACAGAGAAAGAATTCTCAAATGCCTCTGGGTAAATGATGGCACCATTTACGAAAGCACAGAAGGAGGAAATCTGGACCGAAAAGATAATGAGTTCATCATAAAGTGCATCTCACCAATCGGAAAAACATCTACATTCCTGTATACTTTGACCAAGACACATATATTCAGGTAAAAGCTCTCCAACTGTACTACTACCCCTACTTAACAATCTATAACACTAAGAAAACTGATATTTAACAAACAAGTGCGTCAAACCTGCTCTCAGAACAAAAACTGCTCAACTAGTATAATAACATAAGTCTATGCACTGTTTGCCTATTTCAATTTTAAGCTCCTAGCCTCTATTCATTAGGTGATGAAAAAGAGAAGCAGACCAAAAAAAAAAAACCAAAACAAACAAACAAAAAAGATGGACTACTATGTGAGACATAAAACTGCCGCTGACTAGGACAGCTACATTTGCCCTGGGAAAGACCAGCCCTGGGCAGAGTTACAAACATAAAAACCTACAGTCTACAATCTAACTGTCTGAAAATGTTATAATTTTTAAGGTCAAAGACTTCCGGAGCCTTACTAATAAGGTTTAAATTATTTAACATCTTAAAAAGAAATCATAAAACTAAGGACCCTATTCTAGATAGGATGCCAATTACCATAATTAATTTCAAAGTAGTGACTGTATTCTAAATAGTCCCATGGAGCTATATTCTTGAAAATCAAGTTTCTTTGCTCCATCAGGGAAGTTACAGATAACTGAAAACCAAACCTTTACATGGTTTTGAATTTTCTGATACATCCCATATCTGAAATTTTTCATCCTGCTATAAGCCAAGGAGAATGGACTCTATTCTTTCTGTACAAGATGGCCTTAAGTCTAAAGCCTTATCATTTCAGCTAAGTTCTTGAAAACCTGGCTTCTATGTTCCTCCCAAGCTTCATCTTGTCACACATCATCAAATCAAACATTATCCCCCACACCAAGAAGTACTAAATTGCTTGTAGTTTAACATGATCTTGTAGTTTAGTATGATATTAGCATGCATGATAGTGTACTCATGTATCTCTGCTCATATTTTCTCCTTCTCTACTTCTTTACCTAGATAACCCATACTCATCATTCAAAGTCAACTGAGAAACACCTCGTCCAAGAAGCCTTCTGTGCATGTGTTAGGTGCTCTTTCCTAGGAGTACCGGTATTGTAATTGACTGATTGCCTATGTCAACCTACCTAACTATCCACTTTTTTTTTTTTTTGCGGTACACGGGCCTCTCACTGTTGTGGCCTCTCCCGTTGCGGAGCACAGGCTCCGGACGCGCAGGCTCAGCGGCCATGGCTCACGGGCCCAGCCGCTCCGCGGCATGTGGGATCCTCCCAGACCGGGGCACGAACCCGTGTCCCCTGCATCGGAAGGCAGACCTCTCAACCACTGCGCCACAAGGGAAGCCCAAAGAATAGTTTTTCTGTTTTTTTTGGTTTTTTTGTTTTTGCAGTACGTGGGCCTCTCACTGCCGTGGCCTCTCCCGTTGTGGAGCACAGGCTCCGGACATGCAGGCTCAGCGGCCATGGCTCACGGGCCCAGCCGCTCCACGGCATGTGGGATCTTCCTGGACCGGGGCACGAACCCGCGTCCCCTGCATCAGCAGGCGGACTCTCAACCACTGCGCCACCAGGGAAGCCCTATCCACTCTTTTGAAGGCACAGATTATGCTCAGAGTTTGCTGAATTGATGAATATGCAGTCTAAGACCATATATGGTTTACCTGATCACGGATTTGTCTACTCAAGAATTGGAGCAGGGGAGTTTACCTCTTAGCTTGCACAGAGGAACTAGTAAAACAGCAGGGCCTCAGCTGCATAACTGCAGCTCCCAATATATAACTGGACCCGCACTAGGAAGCAATTCTACATGGGCTTTAGAGCATGAAGTATCATTTACTATCTATGTGGCCTTGGACAAATTATACTTTTCTAAACCTTAGTTTTATTATTTATAAAATAAATAATATAATATCTACCTCAAGGAGTTTAAAATAATTATAAACAAAAAGTGAGTATGTATATAAGTGTATGTACAGGCATATATTTACATGTGCCTGTATATGAGGAAATGGGTGTATGTGCATGTGTATGCATGTATGACTAAAAGTGCCTAGCTTAGTGGGCTAGGAACTCTATAAATAGTAACAATTATTATTATTAGCAAGATTAGATTATTAATTACTTTTGAAGTATACTCATACTTGTGTAATTTAGAGTTGTTTGGATTTGAAATCACTTAAATAACATAAAGCACTTGAGTCAAATTATAGTCATCTAAGTGAAAATCTTTTCAATTCACCACTGTGATTCATTATTCATACAGCTTTACATAAATGAATTTTAGATTCTATGGGGTACAAAACTAAAAAATTTGGGGCTTCCCTGGTGGTGCAGTGGTTGAGAGTCCGCCTGCCGATGCAGGGGACACGGGTTCGTGCTCCGGTCTGGGACGATCCCACATGCCACGGCCCATGAGCCATGGCCACTGAGCCTGCGCGTCCGGAGCCTGTGCTCCGCGACGGGAGAGGCCACAACAGTGAGAGGCCCACGTACTGCAAAAAAAAAAAAAAAAAAAAAAAAAAAAAATTTGAATGACTCTGCTTTAAGGATTACTTTTCTAACTGCCTACTCAGATGATAACATATCATTGAATTATTCCTCTAAAACATCCCCTCACACACACACAGCACACTGTAGATGCTCAGTACACGCTGAATGAAGGAATCTGATGAATGACTGGATTGTTCTGAATTTTAAAATATCCACAAATCAAAACAAGGCTTTAAAATGTGAATTCAAAAATAAAATCACTAACAGCTGGCTTGTTTAACTCTATATTTTATTATGGACAAGAAATATAATCTGTAAGCAGGAAATACTGAAATCATCCAAGTTCCTTATTTTTCCATGAAAGTGCTTCACATAGGTTTCAGCAGTTACCCCCAAAATACTGGTCAAAGGACTAGGGGTATCACAGGATCTGTGTCCAGTACAATCAGGTCCAAACTTTTTAGCCAACAATCTTACTAAGACTGGCATAGTTGGGGGCCCTCAAAAGAGAAGTTATCAAAAAGAATTTCAGATATCCTTGCTGTGACATTAATACAAATTTTTATAGTTACATATATATTTATATATTATAACAACCCCACCACCTTGCATAGTGTAGTACTTCACAATTTATACACATATTCACAGACAGGATCTCATTTGAGTGTCATGACAACCCTGTGATGTAAACATGAGAGATATTATAAGCCACTTAACAGATGAGGAAACGAGACTAAGATAAAGTGACATGTCCAAGACAACACAGGTATAAAATAAGGCTGAGCATTACGCCAACACTCCTTCTTCTATAAGACAGTTCTATCTCTGAAAAGTTAAAATTTTTCTTATAGGGGGCTTCCCTGGTGGCGCAGTGGTTGAGAGTCCGCCTGCCAACGCAGGGGACGCGGGTTCGTGCCCCGGTCCGGGAAGATCCCACATGCCGCAGAGCGGCTGGGCCCGTGAGCCATGGCCACTGAGCCTGTGCATCTGGAGCCTGTGCTCCGCAACGGGAGAGGCCACAGCAGTGAGAGGCCCACATACAGGAAGAAAAAAAAAAAAATGTTCTTACAAATATACTAGAGTCCCCAAAGGCAAAACAGTAGGAAAGAATGAGGCTAAAAGTCAGATTAGCATCTGAATCTCATTCTACAACTTCCTAACTGTATAAATTGAATAATTTACTTAAATTCTCAGAGCCTCAGCTTTCTCACCTGGGAAGTGGGAATAATAGCACCTACCTTGCTGGGTTACTGTAAGAATAAATGGGATAATAAAGCAATTATACTCCAATAAAAAAAAGAATAAATGAGATAATTAAGTGGCCTCATAGCAAAGTATCTAGGCCATACCAGGTGCTTAGTAACAGTAACAATTATTTTTATTATTATGTTTCTTTTTCTCTAGACTTTGGTTGTCTAATATGCTAACAAGATTAAATAGGATTATCTTTAAAATTCTTTCTAGTTCTTAAAGACTACTTCTCTATGGGAAAGTGAACAATTTCCTTCTATTTTAAGAAACACTAAGGTTTATAAAAGCGCATTACACCTGTCTCTATCTAGTTTCTCAAAATGTTTTACAAGTGTAACAGGTAATATGCTCATTAAAGAAGATGTAACTTACCAATAGCTTTGAAGCTTGAACTCGAACCACCCAGGAGCTATCACTGACCATGTGACAAATTTTTCCAAACGCATCATCAACTAAGCGAATTTCTTCATTAGAAGAAGGGATTGGGACAATGCTAAATTAAAAGAAAAGAAACCACAAGTGACAAAACATGAGCCTAAAATTGCAGGTTCAATAAACTGAGAATGACCAATGAAAATCAGCACAAATAGAAATGATAATTGAAAAAATTCATCCTATAATGATGAAATACATTTCAGAGTAACCAAATCAGTCTGGGATTTATTTATTTTTAGTTGCAATGCAAATTTGTGTCTTGAGTAAAAAGTATTTAACACTAAAGATTCAAAGATTTATGAGATACCAAAAACAGCTACCACAGAGTTATCTTTAAGTTTATTCTCTCTTATAAATTGCATTGCTGTCAATATAGCAAGTCTCAGAATAAACCAATATAAAACATACTTGCAAATCTGGTCCTAAATGAAAAGACAATTTCCAGCTAGTCTTTTTTTTTGCAGGGGGTGGGGGGTGGTGTCTATGGGGGGTGGTGTCTATAGCTTTATTAACTCATTCTTGTTTTTCAATTTCAGTAGGTAGTTTAATGAAGAGGAAAAAACACTTCTTTTTCCTATAAAAGGAGTTCTATACAACAGAATAAATAATACCTGTCTCTCCACCTCAAAGAATCACTGTGAGATAAATTATTTAATTACTGTGAAAAAAAAATTTTTATTTTTGGCCGCACCACACAGCTCGTGCAATCATAGTTCCCCGACCAGGGATTGAACCCAGGCCCTCAGCAGAGAAAGCACCAAGTCCTAACCACTGGACCACCAGGGAATTCCCTATGAAAATATTTTTAACCAGGAAAACACTACATAAGGGATCATTATTCTCAAATTCACCTGGTATCTTTAGCTGGCATTTGTATTTACTAAAATGTGCCCCAAACCATTTCAAAGACTTTTTTTAAGGGTTGGGCAGAGGTGGAGTGGATAGCATTTGAGAAAGACCATCCAATCTCTTCATCTATAGTTGAGGAGGTTGGGACCCAGAGAGGCGAAGTGGCTTTCCCAGCATACACAGAAAGTTCAAGGCAGAGCTGAAAAACAAGGACCAAGCATCCTGATTTTCAGGGTCCATGCTTTTCCCCTATTCCATACTGCCTTCCAAAAAATCTAACCAACATTCCTTTTCTGGAGGTGGGCTTTCTGCATGGTGGGAGGAAAGAAAAATGGCTTAGCAATGAACAAAAGCTGGCTTACACCCACACTGACCTTTCAGGATAGAGCTGACTGACAACCCAGATAAGCTGGACTGCAGCACTGCGCACTTGTTCATAGTCATCAGAGAGCAATTTACAAGCCTGCAAACAAGGATTCCAAAAGTCTGTTAGTTCTGTGTCCTCCCAGGTGATGTTCAAACTATTTTCAAAATGAAGATATGGTGGTTGGATAAGGATACCAATCAAAACACATATGGGTGATTTTAACTTCTTGAACCTTTGCCCAACAAAGAATTCTTGGCCTCTGCCAGCTGCTCTGCCTGTGTTCTGTGTACCCTCCCACCCCATGTCTGAAAGGAGAACCACAGATTGATAGATAGCACAAAAGCCATCTAGAATAGCATCAATCATAGCAAAGCTTGCTGGGAGCCCACAGTGCTACCCTGACAGGCTCAAACACCAAAGATGAGTTTTTTCCCTATCTGTAAAACTAGAGCACAAATTTCTGACTGACAGTCCATCTGAAAATTCAAGCACTCTAAATAAATGTACAATTTTAACGTTAAGCTGCCAAAAAGAGGCCAAATTTTCCTTTTTTACTTTAGTCTGAAATGGAATATCCCTATTCCACCCACAGTCATAGCTACACCCTAGACTTCAACAACACCCAGAAAACGGTTTCTGAAATTTTAAAATCTTATATTCCATGCTTTGACCATATATGCTACTCTACCAGCTCTTCCATCGCCATGACTTAACCCATCACACCTGCTCTTCATCCCACTTAAGTCACCTATCCGTTTAAGCAGGGTCTCTCAACCTTGCTATTATTGACATTTTGGACTAGATAATTCTTCGTTGTGAGGGGCTGTCCTGTGCAATATAAGATATTTAGCAGCATCCCTGGCCTCTACCCACTAGGTAGTTGTAGCACTGCACCCTCTTCCTCTCCCCAGCAACTGAAATAGTCAAAAATACCTCCAGACGTTGCCAAATGTGCCCTGGACGGCAAAATCACCTTGGTTGAGAACCACTGCTTTAATTCTGTCCTTTCTTTCCAAATAAACCACCTTTTCCTTGCTCTATACCCGTCCTTACTTCAGTCTCTTTTTGTTGTTGTTGTTTAGTTTTTATTTCATAACCATAAACTTAACTTTGCAATTCAGCTAAACTTGGAGGGGAATAAGGAAAATATGGAACCCAAAGAAGTGCAATGAGAGCACAAAGATTACAGTATATTTTGAGCAGATGGGGATGAAGGGGTGCTCTCCTGAGCTACAGAAGGAATGGTCTGATGGTTAAGATAAAACACAAGTCAAATTTATTATTAGATTTGTCCACAGTCAGCAATGGTGATCTTCTTGCTGGTCTTGCCATTCCTGGAACCAAAGCACTCCATGGCTTCCACAATATTCATGCCCTCTTTCACCTTGCCAAAGACCACATGCTTGCCATCCAACCACTCAGTCTTGGCAGTGCAGATGAAAAACTGGGAACCGTTTGTGTTGGGGCCAGCATTTGCCATGGACAAGATGCCAGGACCCGTATGCTTCAGGAGGAAATTCTCATCATCAAATTTCTCCCCATAAATGGACTGGCCACCAGTGCCATTATGGCGTGTGAAGTCACCACCCTGGCACATAAATCCCGGAATTATTCTGTGAAAGCAGGAACATTTATAACCAAAGCCTTTCTCCCCAGTGCTCAGAGCAAGGAAGTTTTCTGCTGTCTTTGGAACTTTGTCTGCAAACAGCTCAAAGGAGACACGGCACAAGGGCTCGCCATCGATGGCAACGTCAAAGAACACGGTAGGGTTGACCATGGTTGGGCAGCGCGGGAGGTTCCGATGTGGCGGCGTCTGCAAAGCCACTTCAGTCTCTTGACAGCATTGTCTGCATCATCATACACAACCCCCTCAGGATTTCTGCTACAGCTGCTCCACAAACCTAAGACTTTCTCTAGTCTTCACAAGGGCAGCAGAGCACTGGCAAAGACCACACTCTCTAGGGGATTGGTGATTCATGATCTCAAACCTTATTAGTCCTACTCTGAAATCTTTTACACTCCTGCTTTCCACTTCCATTTCCCAAGGCAGCTTTTCTTTTTTTCAGAAAGGTGGCTAATGAGCCTTTTTTTTTTTTTTTTTTTTGGCTGTGTTGGGTCTTCGTTGCTTCATGCGGGCTTTCTCTAGCTGTGGCGAGCAGGGGCTACTCTTCGTTGCAGTGCGCGGGCTTCTCAATGCAGTGGCTTCTCTTGTTGAGGCTCACAACAGTAGTTGTGGCTCAAGGGCTCTAGAGTGCAGGCTCAGTAGTTGTGGCACACAGCCTTAGTTGCTCCACGGCATGTGGGATCTTCCTGGACCAAGGCTCGAACCCGTGTCTCCTGCATTGGCAGGCAGATTCTTATCCACTGCGCCACCAGGGAGCCCCAAGGCAGCTTTTCTTAACCTTTTCCTCGGGACTTCTATCCTACTACCAGCTATAAGGCGACCTGTTTATCTGACAAAAATCAAGGTTCTCAGGCACAAACCCACTCAACTACTCCACACCAGTTATAAATTCATTTATTCCTGTATTCTCCCACCCCTTGTTTTCTCAATATCTGAGGGAAAAGGGTCCTTTCTAGTTCCTAATCCTTCTACTTTTGCTACGGATCCCATCACTTCCTCACATGACCATCCCTTACCATCCTCCAAAATAGATCCTCTTTGTGATTCTCTATGATAGCATCCTATTGATTTACCTCACAGCAGTACTCATATGCTATAACTGTGTTTGCTTATTTGTTAATTGCCTGTCTTACCTATGACAATGTGAAGGGCATGGGTCCTATCTATTATAACATGCTTGGCATTATACAGCCAGCATTAGGTACTCACTAACATTTGTTGGATGAATCAGCTCATGAATCTGATTTTCTGCCTCAAGGAACTTACTCCAGCATTTATTCCCCTTTGTCTCTTCTATCATAACACTAGCTCTCCCTTCAACATATAAACATACTTAGCAACTGTCTTTAAAATACAGGAAAAAAAACAACAACAACCCTTAATCCTATGCCCCCTTCTACCAACTTCTACCCCACTTTCCTATCATAGTCAAGTTTCTTTAAAGTATAGTCATAGTCAATAGACTTTAAATGCCTCACCTCAAAAGACCCTGATCTGGCTTCCCCCAGTCCCAGCACTCCACTGAAATTGCTCTCTTTAAACTCACTAGTGACCACTTTGTTGCTAAGTCCCATGACCAGACTTCAGTGCTATCCTAAATGACCTTTCACCAGCATTTGACACTGCTGACTATGAGAATGCCCTCTTGCCTCTTCTGGAATATATTCTTCCTCCTCCTCCATCAAGCTGCTCCTCAGTTCCATTCTAGGGCTCCTTTCTTAAACGTTGGACCTCACCCCTGGCTCCATCCTCATCACTTCCAATCTTCTTACTCTCCCTGGGTATCCCCATGACCCCTAGATATTGATGGCTCCAAATATCCACCTCCAGCTCTGATCTTTCCTGAGTTCCAGACCTGGAATTCTCCTCATAAGTATCCCATCAACCCTTCAAACTCAAGATAATCAAAATGAACTCATTATAGTAACTAATTCTACCTCATATCTCAAATCCTCCCCCATCATTCCATCCTCACTCCCTTGAGGTCCACAGCATTGCTTGCCTAACCAACTGACACAGTCTTATGTCACTAAACATCTGAATCATCAGACTAACTCTTTTTCCTTTGAGTCCTTACTCTACAAGTTTCCTTTAATTATTTGGTTTCCCACACAGTTTTCCTATAGGTCACACCAACATAACCATTCTGAACTCATTCTACTTCATTTGTAAAAGAACGTACTTGGTTTACACATCAGTCATAGGGGTTTGGCTAATTATCCTCTTCCTCTAAAAGCTAAAACCACTCTCAGTAGGCTAACAAAAACTGGTCTCTGAGCGTGGATTTAGATTCCTTGTCTCTAGATACATCCAATTGTTCTACAAGAATAAATGTAAGGGCTTTTGGTTAGGCACTCGGTCAGCTTCTCCTAATGATACTATAATTTCATTGTGCTTTTCCTTACCAATGCTATAACAATCATGTGATATCTTTTCATACGATCCCATGGTCTTGGTCATCCTCCTCCAGAAATACGCCAGTTTCTCAAGTGTGGTGCCCTGAATTGACCTCAGGTTTGAAGTCAACTTCAGTCAACCAAACAGAGATCAACAAGACTACCACTCTCCTTACTCTGAACACTACACTTCTCTTTGTATACTCTGGCATTCACACTGAGCCAGCTAAATCCTCCCAAATGTCCTCCTCACATGCACTAGTGCTATTCATTACATATTCCCCATTCTCTTCTTAGGATGTATGCTTTGGATACAACTGCACATTCATCACAACACTGCCACTGTTAGCCAGCTGAAGCTCTATGTTTTCAAATTCCGACCACCAGCGTGCCACCCTCCCAGTTTCATGATTTCTCCACCTCCCTCCTCTTCTAAACAGCAATCATTTAAGGTACCTGAGTATAAATTGTTTGGTATAATTTCAGTCCTCTTTCATGGAGCTGCAACTAGATAATAAAGATACAGTTTAAGTATTCTGAAAAAAAAAATCAATATTTCCAATGTCTCCCCACAATCTCATATATTTTTCCCCATTATATCACATTAACATGGTTCCCTCTGGCCAAAATCAGTGCTATATAAATAAGAAACCTGGACTTTTCAGTAGAAACACTCAAACACTTAATGAATCTAACCCATGGACTGTCCCAAGGGGATGTCAGAAAAAATACGAAATAATGATAAGGAGGCTGAGGAAGAAATGGTTAGCACCATCTCCCCCTAAAGAGCAACCCTCCCCCATAACTTTCACCTATACTTCTGAAATACAAAGGTATAACCTGTACCTACTGTACTATAATACCAAGTAACATCTCTCCCATGGACCTGGGATACAAGTTGTACCTTCCATGTTTCAGAAATGCAGGTGAAAGCTACCAAACAAGCCCAAAGATAAGCAACTGTTGTAAAGGAATGTGTGCCTTTGAGTTCTGTGATGCCACCAACACCTTCCTGAAAGTGTGCATAAAGTATACCCTGGGGGGGATTCACAATGTATCCAAGGTGGCATTAGCCATTAACTTAAAAAAAAAAAAAGTATCTCCATTTAGTTTCCATGATCACGTTTACCATGGCTTTTATAGCTGCTGTTCTGACACGTGGGTCCTGGTCACTGAAGTAATCCCCTATAATCTTCTGGACGTCTCTGACAGCTAGGCCTTCTGCATCTTTTGTGACACTTTTCTCCAAAGAACCCAGATTACCAAGTAATTGCAGGCACTTATTTCTTACACCATGTGAGGTATCTGTCAGGTGCTACAAAAAGAAAAGAGAGAACAAAAGGACATGATTAAGGTATCTTAAAAATAAACAAAAACACAGAAACAAAAGCACTGAATCAACTTTAGGAATGACTTCAAACACTACATTCTCACTAGTCTGTCTAGTCTCATGGGTTTGTTGTTGTTGTTGTTTTTTGTTTTTTTGGCCATGCTGTGTGGCTTGTGGGATCTTAGTTCCCCAACCAGGGATTGAACCCAGGCGCTGGCAGTGAAAGTGCCTAATCCTAACCACTGGACGGCCAAGGAATTCCCTTCATGTTTTTTGAGTACGTGTCTTCCAAAAAGAATCATGAGTCCTTAGAAAACAAGACTCCCATTTATTCAACATTATACTCCCAACAGCAAGCACCTGGCCTTGTAAAGACTAGGTACTTTAAAAGTGACCCCTTTAATTGCATTTTATTTACTATCAAATCTAAAAACAGAAGAAAAATTCATAAATTTTCAAATTTTTAATATTCATACAGAAATATGCAAAAATATTAAATGTACAGCTCAATGAATTTTCACAAAAAACACACCAATAAGAAGCACCCAGATAAGGAAGTAAAAGATGACCAACTCTCCCAGTAACTACTCTACCACCATCAAAAATAGCCACCATCAGGCTTCGTCCTCCCCAGCAGGAAGCTAGGCCCTTCCTCTTGGGAGCTGCTGTAGTATCCTCTCAGGCATCAAATTGTACTGCAATGTCTTGTTTTTACAAGTCCATCTCCTTTAAGACTGTGCTCCTGGGCTTCCCTGGTGGTGCAGTGGTTAAAAATCCACCTGCCAGTGCAGGGGACACAGGTTCAATCCCTAGTCCAGGAAGATACCACATGGTGCAGAGCAACTAAGCCCATGCGCCACAACTACTGAGCCCATGCACCGCAACTACTGTAGCCCACACGCCTAGAGCCTGTGCTCCACAACAAGAGAAGCCACCTCAATGAAAATCCCGCGTTTCTCAACGCGGGATTAAGCTGAGCTTGCCGCAACTAGAGAAAGCCCATGTGCAGCAACGAAGACCCAATGCAGCCAAAAAGAGAAAAAAAAGACTGTGCTCCTTTCAGAATCTTTTATACGTTGAGCACAGAGTACAGAGACTAAATATGGATTATGAAGGGCCTTCTTTTGGGGGTTCTTAGGAGGAACTGAAAGTAAATTAATTTAAATTAAGTGCATGCAAAGCATCTGCAGTGTTGTGAGAATTCCATAAACATTAGCAGCTATTGTTACTATTACGATTATTATTAATAATAAAATTTGCTTCCTTCCACCTAAAAAATAAAATAAAATAAAAAGCCACCATCACCAAAGCAATCTTGAGAAAAAAGAACAAACCTGGAGGAATCATGATCCCTGCCTTTAGACTATACTACAAAGCTACCATGATCAAAACAGTATGTTAATGGCACAAAAACAGACACACAGGACTTCCCTGGTGGCTCAGTGGTTAAGAATCTGCCTGCCAATGCAGGGAACACAGGTTTGAGCCCTGGTCCAGGAATATGCCACAGAGCAACTAAGCCCATGCACCACAACTACTGAGCCTGCACTCCAGAGCCCGCAAGCCACAACTACTGAGCCCAGTACCACAACTACTGAAGCCCGCGTGCCTAGAGCCCATGCTCCGCAACAAGAGAAGCCACCGCAATGAGAAGCCCGCACACCGCAACAAAGAGCAGCCCCCACTCGCCACAACTAGAGAAAGCCCGTGTGCAGCAACAAAGACCCAACACAACCAAAAATAAAAATAAACAAATTTTTAAAAAGACAGACGCACAGATCAATGGAACAGAAGAGAGAGCCAAGAAATGAACCCACACACTTATGGTCAATTAATCTACAACAAAGGAGGAAAGAATATACAATGGGGAAAAGACAGTCCCTTTGATAAGTGGTGCTGGGGAAACTCTACAGCTACATGTAAAAGTATGAATTAGAACATTTTCTCATACCATATACAAAAGTAAACTCAAAATGGATTAAAGACCTAATTGTGGGACTTCCCTGGTGGTCTAGTGGTAAAGAATCCACCTTCCAATGCAGGGGACACAGGTTCAATCCCTGGTCGGGGAACTAAGATCCCACATTCTGCAGGGCAACTAAGCCCACACGCCAAAACTACTGAGCCCATGTGCCTCAACTAGAGAGTCCTTGAGCTACAAACTACAGAGCCCACGCGCTCTGGAGCCCGCACGCCACAACTAGAGAGAGAAAAACCCACATGCCACAACTAGGGAGAAGCCTGCACACCACGATGAAGATCCTGTGTGCCTCAACTAAGACCCAACGCAGCCAAAAAAAAAAAAAAAAAAGACCTAAATGTAAGATTAGAAACCATAAAACTCCCAGAAGAAAACATAGGCAGAACACTCTTTGACATAAATCATAGAAATATTTTTTGGGTCTCTCTCCTAAGGCAAAGGAAACAAAAGCAAAAATAAACAAATGGGACCTAATTAAACTTAAAAGCTTTTGCACAGCAAAGGAAACCACTGACAAAAAAGACAACCTAGTGAATCGGAGAAAATATTTGCAAATTACATGACCAATAAGGGGTTAATATTCCAAACATATAGACAGCTCATATACCTCAATATCAAAAAAACCCAAACAACCTGATTACAAATTAGGCAGAAGACCTGAACATTTTTCCAAAGACATACAAATGGCCAAGAGGCACATGAAAAGATGCTCAACATCGCTAATCATCAGAGACATGCAAATCAAAACTACAATGAGACATCATCTAACACCTGTCAGAATGGCAATCATTAAAAAGAACACAAATAACAAATGTTGGCAAAGATGTGGATAAAGGGGAACGCTTATACACTGTTGGTGGGAATGAAAATTGGTGCAGCCTCTATGGAAAACAGTATGGGGTTCCTCAAAAAATTAAAAATAGAACTACCATATCATCCAGCAATTCCACTCCTGGGTATATATCTGAAGAAAACAAAAACACTGCTTGGAAAAGATACATGCACCCAATGTTTACAGCAGCATTATTTACAATAGCCAAGATATGGAAGCAACCCAAGTGTCCATCAACAGATAAATGGATAAAGAAGATGTGGTGTACGTGTACACACACACACACACACACACACACACACAATGGAATACTACTCAACCATAAAAAAAATGAAATTTTGCCATTTGCAACAACACAGATGGATCTGGAGGGTATTATGCTTAGTGAAATAAGCCACACAGAGAAAGACAAATACTGGGTGTCATCACTTATAATGGAATCTAAAAAAATAAAACAAACAAATGAATATTACAAAACAGAAACAGACTCACAGATATAGAGAGGAAACTAGTGGTTACCAGTGGGAAGAGGAAGAGGAGTAAAATAGGAGTAGGGGATTAAGATGTACAAACTACTATGTATAAAATAAGTAAGCTACAAGGATATATTGTACAGCACAGGATTATAGCCAATATTTCATAATAATTTTAAATACAGTATAACCTATAAAAATACTAAATCACTGCGTTGTACACCTGAAACATATAATACTGTAAATCAACTATACTTCAACAACAAAAAATAGCCATTATCTTGACTTCTAACATATATTTTGTCTAGTTTTCTACTTTATAAAATCAAATAGTGTCTGGCTTCCTTTGCTTAATATTATGTTGGTGAGAACCGTCCATAGTATGGCATTATAGCAATGGTTTATTCATTCTCATTACTGTACAGTATTCCATTTGTGTACACACCATAATCCATTTATCCTTTCTACTGCTGACAGATATTTGGGTTATTTCCAGTTTGGGGCTGTTCTAAATAATGCTCTCTGCTTATTCTTGAATGTGGCTTTTGGTATACATGTTCACATTTCTGCTGAATATACAGTAAGAAGTGAAATTGCTGGGTCACAGGACATGTATATGTTCAGCTTAAGATGAGACTGCCAAATAGTATTCCAAAGTGGTTGTACTAATTGAACTTATTTACACTCCCACCAGTGATATGTAAATGTTCCAGATATGCCACATCTTTGTCGACCCTTAGTACTGTCAATCTTTTTCATTTTGGCACTTCTCACCATCATTTTTAACAAATTTTCAGTTATCTCTCTCTCAATCCTAGTCCACTGCTACTGAAATAGGCTATTTGCATAATGCAATAACAGGAACTGAAAATACTTTAATGAAATGACTAATTTAAGGGCTGGGCAAGAAATATGTAAGAAGAACCTGGGACACCTTGTGCCAAAAAGCAAGGAAATATCAAGGACTAATTGAGTCCAGATCAAAAGGACACAGAAGCCAATCTGTAGGGGTTCCCACTGTCAACATATATATGACACCAAAAGGAAGCAATCAAATCCAGAATGTAGGACATAAACAAGACCAATGATCCAGTTTCTTCAATAAATCTGTGGCAATTAAAGGAAAAACAAAAGAGGCCACTGTTACTGATTAAAAGAAATTCAAGAGACTATCCAAAGGTAATACACGCTAATCCAAAACAAAAAAACAAAAGCAACTACAAAAAGATATTTATTGCAATTAAAAAAATTTTAATATGAACTGGTATGAGATGATATGGAATAACTGATAATAACTGCATCATGGCTATATTAAAAACATATCAGTTATTATCAGTTAGAGACATACTTAAGTATTTATAATTTAAATAACATGTCAGGGATTTCCTTAAAAATATTACAGCAGACTACAAGAAAAAGTGGAAGGAAAAAACATGAAAAAGATTACAAAGCATAAATAATTGTCAAATTTACACCAAAAACTGGAAAGAATAAGTAAATTTGAAAATTTCCATATTATAAAGTATATATAGATTGAAAAAAAAAGACCTAGCTTCAAATTTCAGCTCTGACTCTATATATGTAACATTGATCAAGCAACTGGACCTCTTAGGGTCTCACTTTCCTCATTTATAAAGAAGGAACAATAATATCTGCCTTACCTAACTTACAGGTGTATCATAAGGCTCAAATAAGAATA